ATTGTGTATCCTGGTAAGGCATTTATGCTTCACTTTACAAAGAAGGGAAACATCAGAAGAAATTTAAATAGAAAAGAACATGAAATAATTTGACAATAGTTTTCAGGCAGGACTGGAAGCCATAATTGATAAAAGACCTATTAGAAAGTATAATTATGGTCAATATAAGAATTGATTAGAGGCTAAGAACAGGAGCACACACCTGTAATTCCCAGCTACTTGGAAAGCTCAGGCAGGAGGTTCACAGATTCAAAGCCAGTCTGGGCAACTTAATGAGACTCTGTCTCAGAGAAATAAAAGGGCTAGGGATGTAGCTCAGTGGTTGAACAATTGCCTAGCATGTGTAAGGTCCTAAGTTTAATTTCTAGTACCACACATACACATAAGAAGAAAAATCAAACCTAAATTAATCTGGAATGAACAGGTAAAGGAGAATGTTAAGGCTATTGTTCAAAGATTCAGTCAAATAGACATAGTAAATTGGAGGCTGGTGATACTGGCCAAGGAAGACTTCCGGAATCCTGAATTGAATCACTTGGATGGGTGGTGGGTCCATTCTTCTATATGGGAACAGTACAGGAAACAGACACAGGGAGAGGAAAGGATCCATGGTGATAAATACTGTACAGATATATATGATGAATAAAGGACAGAATATTTTTCTTTTAAAACAAATGTATACCAAAACCAAAATCATTGGGTTAAGCTAGATAGAAAGAAAGAAAGAAAGAAAGAAAGAAAGAAAGAAAGAAAGAAAGAAAGAAAGAAAGAAAGAAAGAAAGAAAAGAAAAATGACAACGGAACTTGGAACATTATTTCTGAATGAGAAATAAAATTTTGTCATGATAACTTTGGAAAAGCCATTTGCTAGAGATTTGTTTCCTCATCCAAAATATGACAAATTTTTGTCCTTTTTTATGATTCTGATATCTTATGATTTAAAGAACTATAATTTCCCAATTTTTCTATTAACCTTAGCTGGTCTCCTAACTTAATATCTGATTTTCACTGTGATGCCACCTGACTTTTTCTTCTGTTGACCTCATTTTTTCATACCACTTATTTCGTATTTCAATAGCTTTTGTTCATATCTCACACATCTAATTTTTTTAATTTTTTAAAATATTTTTTAGTTTTTAAGGGAGTCTCTAGGGAAGAATAAAATAAGTAAAATATTTCATGCTGCTCTTCACAATAAACCCTCCCCAAATTTGGGGCCAAAGCATGAGATATGTAAATAATTTGGAATAACCATCAGTTAATAGAAAATATTTTAAAAAATTAAAGAAGCTACTCCATGCAGTGAAATTTTATCATTTTTCTGTTGGATTTCAAAGGAGGTTAAAACTATCAGAAGAACAATTTAAGGTCTTAAGCTCAAATGTACAAGTGTAAATATCCAATGGTTCTCACTAAATTTTATTGCAGAAGAAACTCTGGGAAGCCACTGAGAATCTTACAATGTATCCTTACCAGTAACATGTTCCCTTCATGTATTGAAGAGAAGAAGAACACCTGCTAAGAATAAAAAAGGTAGAAACTTTCCCCCAGAGTGAGGTTACTATGATGTTCAAATACAAATATCTGGATTAAAAACTCATTTCTATATAACGAATAACTCCCAGGTACTTATTGAAGTGATATTTTTCCTGGTTTGTCATGAAATGAAAATTCCCAGTGTGCAGAGTTTGTTAATACGACACATACTAAGCATTTAATGAATTATATCTTGATGATAATGATGTACAACCACTGATTAAGTCCATGGATCAAAAGTTAATTGGAAATAGTTTTTTAAAAATGTAAATAAGCAGAAGATCAGAAAGGAAACAGGGAGAGGGAGGAGTGGAGGGAAATGTGAAATACTGGGGACTGATTTGTAGCAAATTTTATTCCATGCTAGCATAGTTATGTCAAATTAATCTTAACAATATTTTAACTAAAATGAACTGATAAAAATTAAAAAGTAAAAAAAAAGTTAATTAGAAGAACTATTTTATCTTGACAATCACAACATTAATGACCAAATGCAATGATGATGGTACATGGAATTCTGGTCAAGACAGTGTCCAACTGGGAAATATTATGTCTTCTACTTTTCTTATTCATGAGGGTATGTAGTTCTTGGTTTGAACACTGGGAAAAAGAAAAACCTCTATAGCACCAGAATAGTGGCAAATTCTCATTCTTTTTCTTTTCTTTTTCTTTTTTTTTTTTTTTTTGTAACTAGGAATTGCAGACTGGCAAAGTGTGTTATGAGACAGCCATAATAGCAGTGGAATCCAATGGATGACAATTTTTTTAAGTCTCACGTAAATTCTTTGGGAAATCAAACACCATCCTTAGTGAGATATAAAAATTAATACACTATATAGTTCCTACACTGGAGACGTGAAATTCAAAGCTGAGGATGTAGATCAGTGGCAGAATGTGTGCTTAGCATGTGTGAGCTCCTGGGTTCAATACTTAACATTCCCGCCAAATTGTACAATTCAGTGTTGTTGTTGTTTTTACAGAATATAGCTTTATTTATAGAATCTTACAAATAAAACATTTACAGTCCACATAAGTTATTTTCTTTCCTAATTTTTCTCATAACACCTGAGTTTTTTTAAAAAAAATACTGTGATGTAATTGTAGAACTGTAAAGGGAAATATGAATAATAAAAACCTAACCTCTTTCTTTTGCCAAAAATCAGACTTTATTATTATTATTTTTTAAAGCAGGTTTCTGGCATATTTCTGTCTCTTTGGAAGAGGACTTCCTAAAAAATAGATCTTAGACTACTCAAACAGAGAAGTCTTCATTTTACAAACCCAGGGTGAAGGACCACCGAAGAATGGCCCCCAGGTAACACTAGACACACAATCTTTAGGGGCAAAGACAGAAAGTGAGAAGTAGCAGGACCCTGTCCCTGGCTTATGGCGCCTACGTGACATGTACTTTCCTTGCTGACATTAATAGGAACTGGTCCATCTGGAAAGAAGTGGAAGGTGCCTTTGGGGTGCCAGGTGGAAAAGTCCTCTAACAACTCACTACTCCTCAGACTTCTAATATGTACAGATGCCTAGAACAGCAAATTCAACACTTAAAAGTCAAAATGAAATTGCCACATTTTCAAATCATGAGGCAGATCTGTTGCCAATGGGAACTTCCATTACCATCTCCCTCCTAAGCTCCAACTGGGCTGGCCTCTGCATCCATGCAGGCGAAAGAGGAATTCCCTCTGAGGCAGTCGTCTGTGAAGGTGAAGCTCTTGAGTTAATAATATAGGTGTCCATGAAAAGGGCAAGCACCCTACTAGTTCATATTTATTTTTCAATTTGTTAAAGATTATGTTTTTTTAAGCTCCTCTCCTAAACTTAGAAACCCACTAACTCTAAGTCAGTACTCTACTCCAAGACAAAGGATATTTTAAAGGAATGACAGGAACTACAGGGAGTGCTAAAATTAAAATTGTAATAGATTAACGTGAGTTAGATAAAGTAAATCTTCCAGTCTTTTTTTGGGGGGGTGGGGTGGGGGTGGTGTGCTGGGGATGGAACCCAGGCCTTGCACATATACTGTGCAGGAGCTCCATCTGTCTACCACTGAGCTACCCTCCCAGCCTCAGAGTGTCATTTTCTGCTACCTCTTGAAAGCAGTTTGAGAAAAATAAAACAGAAAAGACAAAATCATTTTAAAATAATAACAACAATGATGATGATAAATATAAAAAGTTAGATTCTAACATTTAAGGAATTGGTTCTTTGGTAAAACTGGACCCTAACTCTATCAGGAGTCGGTCCTGACATTCAATCTAGAATCTTGATTGCTAATGGTTTATCCTTCTTCAGCCTATTCTAAATCCATCTGAGTCAACAGGCAGGGTTGAGAGTGAGACTTAACAAAACCCCCAGCACTTTTCCCATTCATACTCTTTTCAGGAATATTCTTGGTTTGAGGAACATTTCCTAAGAACAAAAACAAAATAGATGTTGATTTTAATTAACAACAGTAGACAGTTTTTCTAAGGAAGGATAGAAACACTCAGGCGATGGCAATGAACCAGCACTCCTGTCATCATGTGAACACAGCCTCTGGGCTGCAGCTGTGGCACCACTAAAAAGGCTTCTGGAGAGACTGGCTCCCCAAAGTGGCTAAAGAATCTCACATTATCAATATGATAATAATAAATCAATTCACCTAGTGAACCTGGAGATTAGCTCCCCTTGAAGCCAGAGTTCTGAGGAGGGGGCTTCACAGTGCCTGAGGCTGGCCCATAGTGTTAAAGCCAAGTTCATCAATCCATGTTCTGGAGAGAATTAGAGGAATTTATACTGAGTTCAATACAGGATTCTACTTCTGATGTCTGGGGCCAGGGAGGAAGCAGTAACCAAGACAGTGCCACTCAAATTCCACCCGCAGCAATACCTTCGGCCATGCCCCAAGTTTTTGACCTTATAGTCCAGTGTTCCCCGGTACTCAAACTTTTATTTATGTAATTACTAAGTCATAAATTTCGCCTGCACTCATTCCATTTCTGACTACCCTTGTCATGGTAAAGCATAAACTACTGCACTCTAATTCTACAGGTCGGCTTGCCACACTGCGCCAGTCATGACCAGGGGAGGTGAGTGCGCAGTCTCCCCTCCAACCCCCACATCTTGACTGCACTCACAATGTGCTTCTAGGGAGGGATCTGAACAGTCTCTTAGAAGGGAGCTGGGAAAGGGAGGTGGAAATCACAGCAAAAATAATTTGTTTTCTCGCAGATCTTCTGCTCCTCCATTCTGTTAGCATTAAGCCGCAAGAGAAGGTCCAGGTAACCGAACCTTCATGGAGGCTCAGTTGGGGAGCCAGAACATAGGAGCTGCACAAACCGACACCCGACGTCCCAGGAGAACAAGCGGGGATCACGAGAGGAGATCCATCACTGGCTGCTTCCTATCACACTCAGGATGGTCCTTGCCTCTCTCCTGCACTACTCACCTGCTGACCTTAAATTCTCTTTGAGAGAATAGGCAACTCAACAGACTGGGGTGGGGGTGGGGGTCCCTTGTCTCCTGTCCCTTCTCTGTAAGAAAAGAAGAACCCGCTTCACAGTCCACAGGCCCCAAAGTATAGATTCACCTCCTGATGATTCTTTCTTTCTTCTTTTTTCTTCATCTCCTAATATTTCTAACCAAGTTATGACCACGAGCTCTATTTTTACATTGCAGGGTAAAAGACTGAAAATCTCTCAGTGCTGCTTCCAAGAGAAAGAGTCCAGAGTGAGTGGAGAGGAAAGGGAGTCTTGTCTTGTACACAGCATTCAGGTTCCAGAGCCACCGTGAAGAAGGGGGCAGGGAGGGTTGAGGCACTACCTGGAAAACGTCACCAGGGCAGCTTCTTCCTAGAACAGAGCACTTTAAATACAGTTGATATCTGGAGCAGGCAGACAGGCTGTTATCAGTTTAATCCAATTGCCTCCTCCATGGAGGTTTGTGGAGGCCGTGTCCTGTGGCCAGAACCCGACCTGCAGTCCCACTGGCTCTTGGCAGGGCCCTATCCGATCTGGATCTGCCCTGAGTACATAGTGAGGAGCAGCATGATGGTGAAGCCGGTCAAGAGGCCCAGGTTCTGAATGACAAAGGGGATCAAGATGCTGCCCTTCCTTTCATCCTCCTGGCAGACCTCATACATCTCAGGAAACATGTCAGCTAGAGCAATATATAAGAACATTCCTCCAGCCAGTGCAAAAATCCAGTTGTCCGAGAAGTGGCTGCCGGCCAGGATGCCAAAGGCCAGACCCACATAGCAGCAGCAGGCAGAAAGGAAGTTGAAGAACAGAGCCTGCTGGATACTCATCCCAGCATTGAGCAGGATGACAAAGTCTCCCAGCTCATGTGGGAACTCCTCACAGAGGATGACCACCGACGTGCTGCTGCCTTGGAAAGCAGACACAGTGAAGGAGGCACCTGTGGCCAGGCCATCGATGAAGTTGTGGAGGCCGTCACTCAGGGTGATCATCCAGGCCAGGGTGCCGATGTCAGAGTAGCGGACACCCTTCAGCCAGTAACAGGCACTTTGGGAAGCCTGGAGGTCCTGCACGGAGAGTGAGCCCACGATGACCTTCCTGTCCATATCCAGGGCCTTGCCATCGGGCTCGCTGTTGCAGTGCTGAGGAATCATGTGGTCCAGATCCCCATTCTGCAGCTTCTCTGTCACACCCTCCTCCTGGTCCTTCTTGGAAGGAAGTGTCTCCGAGGCAAAATGGTTATGTCCGTGATGATGCTCATTTTTCTGCTTAAGAAGCATCTTTAAGATCTTCTCTGTGAAAAAGAAAAGGTAGAAGCCCCCAAACACCATTGCAGACTTGGGGACATAATAATCTTCCAGAGGATTGAAGCCAAAAGCCTCAGGGATGAGCTGGAAGAGGGCGTTGGAGTAGAGGGTTCCAATCGCCAGAGCTATGAAGTAGAGCAGCAGCCGCTTGTAAAAGGTCTTCTTCATGAAGGGCACCACTCTGGCCCCCATGAGGCAGCAGAGGGAGACACAGAGGAGACCGTATCCCCACACTTCGATGGCACTCGGCTTCCCCTCCTCGGTCTGCTCGTTCTCTTCATTCTCTTGGTTCTCAGACGTACAGGCCCCAGAATCCAGCTGCTGGAGAATGGTGGGGCAGAACTCCTGGAGCTCACTCCTCCCGATCCGAGACTCCTCGCTGAAATTGTGAGCAGCAAAGAAGTCTCCAGAACTAAAGCACTTGGAGAGGTTCCTGTGACCCTGGCCAGGCTGTGTGGCGTTATTCCGGTCTACTCCCACATTCAGGTGGATGAGCAGTTTCTTCAGCTGCTGCAGGGTGAGGCTGCCACCCTCACCATAGCGATGCATGAGGTTCTCCAGGAAAGAGGTGGCGCTGACTGCCTGCATGTCCATGGATGAGGCGTGGGCCTCGGGAGCAGCTCTCCATATGTTCAGCAGGGTCAGTAGGAAGCAGCTGAGGAGGGCTGGGCTCGGCAGCTTCATGGTGACCAGGTACACCTGCAGCCGGGAAGGCGGCAGTGGGGCCTGTGCAGATTCACCCGCCAGGCCCTAGGATGGCCGGCAGCGGTAGGAGCAGTTCAGCCGGTGTGTCGGCAAAGACAACCTCGCGCCCCCGCTCCCAGCCTCGGGCCCCCGCCGCCGCGCCTCAGTGTGTTTTTCATTACCACAATGAACTTTAAGATTTTTTTTTCATAACCCTAAAGGAAATATGTACATATTTGCAGTCACACCCCATTTCCCCCCAACCTATCCAAGCCTCTGCAACCTCTAACCTGTCTTCTGCTGCATGGATGTGGATATCTGCACATTTTATATAAATGGACTCATAAAATGGGTAGCAACTTCTTCTGGTTTTGAGGGAAAGTAAAGGGAAAGAATAATGGTCTGCTTTATTGTTATACTGTTTCTTGCCTTATAACATTCGAAATCCTCTGTCCCTAAATAGTATCTTTCTAATGCCTATTACAAGTAGTAACAGGAGGGAGGATGGTCCATTACTGATTCTCTATGGAGTTTTTATGTTGTCTTACTATACAAAATACATACTTCTGGCAAGGAGGCACAGCTTAGTAACAGAACACTTGTGTACCATGCATAAAGCCCTAAATTTCATCCCAGCACTGCTAAAAAAAAAAAAAAATCATAAAATGGACAGTATGTGATACAGTGTATCAGTTCCTTGAAATTGAGAAGTGGGTGCACAGAAGGAGGGTGTTTGTTTTATTTTTTGGTCTTTGGGGTTTTGTTTTTGCTTTGCAAGCTGTTCTTTGTTTGGTGCTAGGGACCCAGGGCTTCATGAATGCTAGGCAAATGCTCTATCACTGAGCTCCTTACCCAACCACCCTTTTCTTTCTTACATGCCAGGCTTACATCTGAAGTGTTTTGGGTTGTGTTACAACTAGGCCCACTAACCAGGACTTCATGTATCAATTTCCCATAGTCTGCTTCATAAATATTTAAAGCCAGGCTGGGGTTGTGGCCCAGTGGTAGAGCACTAGTATGTGTGAGGCACTGGGTTCAATTCTTAGCACCGCATATAAATAAATAAATTAAATAAAGATCTATCAACAATGAATAAAAATATTTTAAAAAATTTAAAGCCAGGACTTAACTAGAAACCAGAACACTTCATTTTTTTATATTTATTTTTTAGTTATAGGTGGACACAATATTTCTATTTTATTTTTATTGGTGCTGAAGATAGAACCCAGTGCCTCATGCATGCTAGGTGAATGCTCTACCTCTGAGCCACAAACCCAGCCCCAGAACACTTCATTTTGATTTATATATTTATTTGTGAGTAAGGCTAAGAGCAGGGACATATTATGATATTTCTCAGAAGCAATTTTGATGAGTTTTAAGCAAGAAATTTGTGTCTTTTTTGAAATTAGAATTTTAATTTAAATTTCTGCTACCTGGTAGTAGCAACTGTACTACACTATTTCAATTATCTACGCTCACATTGTAGAAAATCAAGAATCAAAAACAGCTTTGGGAGCCAGGTGCAATGGTGCACACCTATAATCCCAGTGACTTGGGAGGCTGAGTCAGGAGGATCGCGGGTTCAAAGCCAGCCTCAGCAAAAGTGAGGCACTAAGCAACTCAGTGAGACCCTGTCTCTAAATAAAATACAAAATAGGACAGAGTGGATGTTTTCTCTGATTAAGGGATGCTGATCTATGATGAGGGGGGCATGGGAAGAGTGGAAGAACTTTGGATTGAGCAAAAGGGGGGTGTGAGGAGAGGTTATGGTAGTAGGAAAGATGGTGGAATGAGATGGACATCATTACCCTAGGTACATGTATGATTGCACGAATGGTGCATCTCTATACTGTGTACAACCAGAGAATTGACATGTTGCACTCCATTTGTGTACAATGAATTGAAATGCATTCTGCTGTCATGTACAAATAAGTAGAACACATTAAAAAAATAGGGCTGGGGATGTGGCTCAGTGGTCAGGTGCCCTTAAATTCAATCCCTGGTACCCACTACCCCCCCAAAAAAGTAAAACAGCCTAGGGACTGGAGGTGTAGCTCAATAGTAGAGAACTTGCTTAGCATATGGGAGGCCCTGAGTTCCATTCCCAACAATGAAAAAAAAAACTATATTTCCTTCAAGCAAGTACCCCTGTCTTCAAGAAGGAACCTGTTGTATAACAAGCCGTTTAAACTATTTCAGATAAATCCAGGGTGTTCCTTGACTACACCTAGCATGAAATTCTGCTGCATTGTCAATGGTCTTGACCACAACTTTCCTCCTACAAACAAGTAAGAAAATGAAAACACCATGCTTTCAGGTCTCTGCATAAATTTTGGGCTTCATATGTTCATTAAAAACAAAATAAAATTAAGCAAGGTAACTTGTTGGGTTTCATGCAAACTGTTGGTTTTGAAGAATACAAAGAAAAAACAGAATCTTATAGTATCTATGAACAGCATTCAAGCATTTCAACCTAACTATAGTTTTCCCTTGATTTTCTATGGTACTTGATCTATAACTCCTTAGACACAAATATCTTCAGATTTATTTTTAAAATGATGCATTTGCATATAAACTACTCATAAATATCTGCAGACTTATTTTTTAAATGATGTATTTGCGTATAATTATATTGGCATATAATCCTCTCATATACTCTAAATCATCTTTAAATTACTTATAATGCCTAATGCCGTGTAAATACTACATAAATAATTGTTATCCTGTATTGTTTATGGGATAATTATAAGGAAAAAATATGCACCTATTCAATGTAGATGCAGTTTTTTCCTGAATATTTTTGATCCAAAGTTGGTTGAATGCACAAATGTGAAACCCACAGATGCAAAGGGTCAACTTTGCATAAGATAGACAATAATTGAACACTAGATACCAGGCATCTGTATTTCTTTTCTCTATGCCATGCTTCCCATGGTTAGGAATTGGTGCATTATAACAAATATATTCATGTTTCCAAAGATATGTGTCAGGGCTCCTGAATCAACAACTCAGATAAACATGTCCTAATTCTTCTTTTTTGGTAGGTTGAGCTGGTTGGGCCATGGTGCCAGCCTAGCAATAGTGCTTGTGTTAACAGGGAGAAAGAAGGGGGAGGATCTTGAGGAGGAGGAAAAAAGTAAAAAAGTAAGGGTACCCTATCAAAAGTCAAATGGAGCAGAAGGTAGAGAAGACATTCAGATCCTGAGGTAAAAGATAGAAATAACACAGGGCAAGGGGTAAATAAGTATCCAAACTACCATAAAACAAGTTGCTAGGTGCTGTGATAAAAGATCAAAGTTGAAAAAGTGAGAATAGGATGAAGGTGGGTATAATTTGGGAAGTCTTTACTCAAAGTAATATTGGAGCTGATTTGCCCTGAGGAATAATTCTGGGGAAGGCTTTTTTTTTTTTTTTTTAACCTCAGTGCTCGGCATTGAACCCAGTACCTTACACATTCTAGACATGTATTCTACCATTGAGCTGAACCCCAGTCTTTGTTTTTTCCTGGTAATACTGTGGATGGAACCCAGGAGTCTGAGCATGCTGATCACATACTCTACCAATGAGCTACACTCCCAGTCCCAAGAAGGCCCTTTTAAGCAAGGGAAATTGGGAGTACACATGAAATCATGAATATCAGGGACACAATGAGTATTTTGAAGAGGAAATGGTGTATTAAAATAAAGGGAAAGTTTCCTGGTTTGCAATGGAAACTGGAAGATGATGGTAGGACATAGAGAAAGATAAAATAGATAAGTTGTAAAGGCTTTAAATGACAAACCCAAAAATGTCTTGAAAACTATGGGAAATTCTAATTTGGTAACATGACTAGATCCCTCCACTCATTTGCTTATAGAGGCAAGGCACTTAATATAAATGATAAAGAAGCCCTGTGCAAACAATGATCAACTATGCCCACTGAAAGAGGGCTCTGCTACCCAGACTCAGGGGTATTTTATTTTATATTATTCATTTTGGGTAGTGGTATACTACCACTGAGTTATACCCCCAGCCTGTGCTCCAGGGAATTTTTACAGTTTGGGGAGTTAGAGCAGTTTCTCCAAGTCCTTTAAAATTTTTAAAAGAAGCCAGAGAACCAGCTATGTGAAACTCCTAACTTCTAAATGTTGACAACTAATTTTGAACCAAAGTTTTCAACACTCCAATATTCTGTTGGTCAAACACATTTCTACAACCTGGATTTGTATCAATCTGAAGCTTTCCAGATTTTACTCAGCACTAAACAATGCTGCAAAATAGATAAAGTGTGTGTGCGTGTGTGCGTGTGTGTGTGTGTGTGTGTTAGATCCTATTTTTATACTTTCATTACATTAAAATTTTAAACCAGATTTGAAACTCCAAGTTTAAAGGGTCAATTAATGGCAACACCAGCTCAGGAGACAGCCTGCACATAATGACTCTGTGGTTAGAAGTCTAGCCCTAGGACTGAAACTGATTTACTTACTGACCTTGAAAAAGGTCATTAACCATGAATTTGCTTCATCATCTGCTTCTGTGCCACAAAGATAGCAACTGTTAAGCTACCGCAAGAAGAGGTAACTAAAGAGATTTAAACACAGTTCTATTCCAAAGGTGATTCAAGAAATCACAATAATTTTAAATTTTGTCTGATTTGAACAGTTGTAAATTTTGTCCAAGCCATCAGTACAATAAAACCCCTGAAAATGACAGTTAAACACTATTGATTGAATATGAACTTTTACAGCACTGAAGGAAAACAAAATCCCAGGTACCTCTTTTGTAAATAACAATATACTCTTTTTGTGGAAAAAATACTTCTGTCTGTTGCCAATTGGTATGTTTTTTTTTTTTTTCAGTTCTTTAGGCTCTTAAACTAACTTCCTTATAAAGCATGCTACCATGCTACAACTACAAACCTGTTCAATATTTTAAGCCTCATTTCTCATAAGCAAATAAATTGAAGAAAGAAGCTAATATTTGCTTCTCTCCTTAACAACTCAAGCAGCTTCATTTGACATTTTGAATATAAATGATCTGCATATGATCCTTCAATACAGACTATGGGGATTGCTCATATGCTGTAGCTTATAAGAGGACATCAGTTAACTAAATGAGCTCTTTTTAATTTTGATGCCAAAGTAT